CGCAAATAATGACCATCACTAGCCTATAAAACTGCCGGAAATTAATAATTAAATAACGAGATTACCGGCCAATATTCCCATATTTGTTGGTCCCTGGTCTGATGAATATTTGAATGAAGTTTTAATAGTGAAGGTAATGACGAAAACAGCGTTTCGAGTATAATAAATTATGAGGGGTATTAAGAGCTTCCATTAACCACTGTGCAATTCAAATCCTCGGGAATTATTAACGAATATTCAAATGCTACAAACCGCAATATACTGGTCATTTTGAGGAAACTGAATTTTCAGGAATTGCAATCACCCAGAAGTACTGATTCCCCATGTGGATATGATGATTGTAAACCCATGGCGCGATCAAGCGTAAATGCATTCGTCAATGCGTCAATCAATAAATAGATACTGGTATATTGACACTTCATCAGGACCACACTGACAAAAACAAAGATTTTTGAGAAATACATCTTTGCTTATATCAAGAAACTTCTGACTTGCAAATTTTCAAGAGTACAATATCTTGCACTAAGAAAATAAAAACTTTCGTCAATTAATTTTGTACTTGTCCTAAAGACGGGGACAATTTCTTGCTGATGGAAAAGCAATTTCTTAAACCAAGTAAAATTGAATTAATTCGTTTAATAGTTTTTTAGCCTCAATTATAAAATATTTCAATGCAAAAACCACTTTAATGGATTTGAGAACTCGTTTTCTTGATATGAAGAATTTCTTCTCATCTTTCGCACAAACATAAAATTTCTTGGCGTAAGATTTTTTTTCTTAGTGTGAGATATTGTGCACTTTATAATTTTCAAGCCACGAACTTCTTGATACAAGTAAACTCTAGTAGAAATTTCACAGCGCAAAAACGTCGCGGCGGCACTGGCGCGCGACATTCAATATTATAGGCCTAGGCACTTTGGCTCAATGTCGCAGAATTTTGTTCAATTTCTACTAGAGAAGAAGTATTTCTCAAAAAACACTGGTTTTCGCAGTGCAGAATACCGAAAATTTTCGAAAACGTAATGCTCAAATAACTCTCACTAATGCTATTCTCATTATATTTCCATTTAGATTTCTCTTCAAGTAATAGAATCAGTCCACACGGAGAGAAAAATTTAATAAAAATTACCAGAAAAAAAACGTTGAGAAATTTTACGGAACGGAACGTAGAAATAACTCATCAGCTTCATAGAAATTGTTGAACGTTAAAGAATTTTTGATTTTGGAGGCATAATAAGTCGAGAAGTTTCTGTAAGATTTTACTTCTTCGGGAAAAATTACATGACAATTCTGTACTCTGTTCGGTGATGAACCTGAAAATGAATTAAACGTTTCAGATTTCTTCTCTTCCATTCCTATAAAAATTGCCGGAAAACAATTTTCCATTGCGGATTACGTGAATTGTTCCGTAATTTTTACTGAATATTTCTTTCCGTGCAAGCGATAGAGGTGTAATCCTATCGTAAAAAGGAGAAAGGAAATCGATCTCGAAATATCTCGAAAATCTCGAATAAGCGTAAGCGTAAGACTGAAACCGAAGCAGCACGCGCGGCCGATCTCGTGTTATCAGAAATCAATTGAAGAACAACAATCATAATTGATAAAAGTGAAAAATTAATGCCAATAATTTCGAATTTGTTGATCCCACACAAGATTGATCCGATCCATTTTCAATCTTTTTGTTTCAGGCAGCACGAGGATGGCAAACACTTCTCGAATCTCCCTCACTCGATCAGTAGAATCACTCGTTGACCTTTCATGCAACATGATAACAGTTGTTGGCTCATCCCTTGATGCTCTGGTTGGGGCTTCTATTTCACGAATTGTTCAGGGTAACTGCTCGTGCGCAACACTCCGGAAGGATTGCCAAACGATTGAACACCCGAAACGAGAACCCGATGATTGAACATAGAGACGAAATCGACATTACACACTGGGTAGAAAGGGGGAAAGCATTTCGCTGGCTACCTCTGCATTTCATGGATGCTCGATCGATCAGCTCTTCTCCCTTTTTCACCATTCTTTTTTATTCGGAAAGAGGTACCATCATAGTTCGCTTTTTTGTGTGCGGCAAACTGTGCGTTCCCTCGCTAGAAAAAAAGACGCTGTGAAGAAAATGGGGGATACACCCATACGCTATTTTCCTGGTTTTTTTCCAGTTTCATTTTCCATTTCCACCTCAACACGTACACCGTGCATAGCATGCGATATCGGGTGGAAGTATATTCGGGAATTGAGTTTACTAGCCTCCAGTATTTAGTAGGAAGGTGGATCTTGTTGGTGTGGCTGTACCAAATGGAAAATATCTGAAAGAATCTGTAGAACTGCAGAATGGGCTTCGATGAAATGAGTTATCGATTATTTTCAAGACCCCACAGAATCTCTATAAATTGAAAGCTGAAAGGTGATGAACAGGTAAGAAAACGATTCCTGAATTACATCAATGGCGGAAAATTTTCGGAGATGAGAAATTATTATTTAGGAAATAAAGTCAACTGTCCATTAGGAAACATTGTCAACTGTTCTGCTGTTAGGAAAACATTGAGATTTCATGGATATTCGTAATGAATTTTATTGGCAACGGGACGATTTGGTTAAAAAAGATTTCAAAATGGTAATGAAATAGATAAAATTTACGAATACTGTCAAATGAAAAATAATATGAAAAATGGTGAAACTAAATGAATGTGACTTAGTCAATTTAATTTTATTATTTTGGCTTTTTGGGGTTTACATACCAGTTGCGTCCACGTCACAAACACTGGGTAATGCTAAACGCTGGTATGGCTTGTTATTATAATAAATTGCCATACCATGCGTTCTTGAATTCTATTGAAATTCGAATTTACAATTTTTAGAAATTATGTACCTCTTGAAAAGAGGAGTTGGTAGGGAGGTCCCGTAGAACTTATGCGTGAGCTCCCATAATTATTCCATGGGGTGGCTCAAAGAAATGTAAATTCATATTAGCTGTTACCCAGAAATTAACCTTACGAATTTTTAGTTTCACCAGAAAAATCATTCGATCAAGCCTCATACTTCAATAACCCATAAGCATACACTGATAGAATGATTCATTTATTCCAAACGAGATTCGTTAACTATTAACGAATGGTAGAGTTGAATATGACCAAATGAATATTCGTTAATAGTTAACGAATGGTTCACTTGAATGGCGAAAGTCAAGTCAAACAAGGCTCCTCAAATGTACATTCGTTAACTATTAACGAATGAACATTTGGTGGAACCGAATAGACCCAAACCTCCAACCAAAATCCATTCGTTAACAATAACTAATCCGTTCTATCAGTGTAGAAAAACTTCGAAAGAATATTTTTAAAAATCACTCATATTTAAAAGTTCGGGTTTACTTGAAATTAACCAAAAATTAATCCAAATCATTTGACAATTCAAACCATTTCTGTTTTCTGTTCAAGAATAATTAATTAAAAATAATTAAATAGAATTTCTCAGTACAATACTGAACGAGAGTTGAATAGCCCTCAAAATGACATACATACAGTGATAGAGCTGAAATTTGCAATGAGAATGATTATAAACAGTTAATAGAAAATGCAACATCGAATCTGATAGGAAATAGTATATTTCGATACGATTGCGGGAAAGTGTTTTTGGGCTCGTGGGAGTTGCCACGAGCCGAAGGCGAGTGATATAACCCCACGAGTCTAAAATAGTACATTACATGCCCGAGCCTTGGAAAACAGATCACCGTTCTCCACGTGTAAGATTGGCTTCCGAGCCGAAGGCGAGGATGGCAAGTACGTGGGGGAGGGTGATGTTTTCCATGGCGAGGTGTGTATATTAATTTTCAGGTCCCGTGACACGAAAACACCTTTCCCGCACGGAGAGAAATGTTCAGTAAAAAATGCGGAACTCACAATTCACTCACCGATTACGGAACCGACTCAGAAAATTTAACTGACGGTATTGTAATTTTTCACATGAGAATCAGATAAAAATTACAAAACGCTCCGGAAAATTTCCGTGACAGTTCTGCAAAATTTCCTACAACCACATCTCGCTCCGGAATTACGGGAAAGATACGTAATTTTTATTGAATATTTCTCTCCGTGCGCGAGTATCGAACTCTATTTTTCATCACAATGTGTGGGAAGTGAGTTTTTGCGCCCGCGGAGCGTGCGTAAAATGTCACTTTACACACATCGTGATGAAAAAGGGTATTAATTTCCATGCAATAATTGGGCTGAAACCAACAATTTTCATTGACTTTTCTATCAAATTTCGAATTTTTAATGGCAAAATTACTGAAAAATTCAGTATAGCTGAGATGTGATAAAAATATTCAAAAAGTGTAGCGTAAATAAGAGGCAAAAATTTTCAATTCCTTAATGTAGGATGAATTTTCCCGTCACATCACGGAGATCGTGCACAATATTCAATCATATCAATTGCTCTTAAATTGGTACCAATTTGTACACATTATGTTCACTTGATTGAATGAATAATTATAGTTCCACGAATGAAATGAATCAGATTTATTGATCAATTCACCCTCTTTTCATGTCCCGTCTCAGACTAATCAGTTCAATGACTATCGGAATTTAATTAACTTGCTGAAATAATTTATCAGCCCACAGAGTGAATTACGCCAAGTGAAATCCATTCCTTCTGAAATGAATTCCAAATATAGGAATCGTAGATTATCAAAGCAGCCTGTACCAAGAAAACCCCCGACGTTTAATAACGTTCCATCGCGTCTATTCTGTCATCAGGTGGAGGCGCCCGTATATAACCCAACCCGCGGTTATTATTCGCATGAATTACTCCATTGAATTTTACGGGATATTCGTTGAAAAGCCATGGATTTCAGCAGTTTCAGTTGCCTTCCCAAGTAACACTGAAAATTTCACTTTATTCGCGGGCGTAGTGTGATCCTGGGGTGGATCAACTTGGATGGGATCCAATTAAAAGCTTCTAGTGACATCGTTGGTGGTGCATGTAGCGTTTAATGTACTCACGTGTAAACTGGATTTCCATCACCTCCGTCCTTGAACCACAAGACCATGTGAAGTGCATCGTATCCTGAGGGGGTTATGTCACAGGGTAGTTCAACAGCACCACCTTCAACTGCACTTATATTCAACATAGGCACTGCAACAAGAAGAAAAAATGTTTCTTCTATTATTTTTTCATTGATTGCTTTTTTTTTGCTTCCGGATGGAAGCTTTGTAATCGTTCAATTTTGAGTTTTGGATCTTTTGTGTTTTAATGACTTATATTCATCATAAGGACTGGAACAACAGGAGAAGATGTTTGTTCTATAATTTTTCATTGATTGGTTATTTTTTGTTTCGTCTGCACGTGGGTGTAGATGTGTGTACGTGTGTAACAAGGTTTTTCTACAATTATTGGCAAACGGATGGATGAAATTAAATCCTTTTTTTTCAAATGTAGGTATTGTTGAGCCCTATGAATCAGCATTAATTAAAATATAATATATCCCGGAATCCAAAATATAAAATATTCTGGATACCGGAATATTATTTTGGGATCGCAAATTAAATATTTCGGATTGCGGAATATTATTCCGAAATTGATGATGAAGTATCTCAGGAATACACACGGAGAGAAATGTTCAGTAAAAATTACGGAACGCTCTTGAAAAATTCCGTGACAGTTCCATAAAATTTCCTACAATCACATTTCGCTCCGGAATTACGGAAAAGATACGTAATTTTTATTGAATATTTCTCTCCATGCAGAATATTACATACCACATTGGAGGATATTTTTTTCCATGTAAATGTACTTGACTTGTATAATAATTTTTCTCCAAGTTTTTTCTCCGTGTAATTGCTTTCCTCGTTTCCTGATTCCTCTCTCGATCTCACTCCGCACATACTCTTTGTCACACAGCCCAGCATCACCCAACCGTATATTTCACATATGTAAAGTTTTCAGACATATTCTTTCCCGCGCTTCAGATATTAATAACACTCGCACACGTTCACGCCGTTCATACCTCAACACAGTATTCCTCATGAGCCACGAGAATACTTCAATTTCTCGCTCCCTGCTATTTAAACTTCCGCAATATGTGATTCTAAAATTTTTCGGTAGTAGACGCAGTTATCAGGGACTTCATGGCCGTTCTGGAACTTCTTACCGATAAGGACCAGTTGAATTCTCCTCTAAATTCCAATCGTCCAACTATACCTCTATTGGTTCAAAATTTGATATTGCCTCCACTCGAATGTTAGCCAACTTCAGTAGAGGGAAAGAGTGGAATCTCTTCCGTTTATGCAAACTTGCTACGAAATAAGAAGCCAAAGTCAATGTTAAATTGTCCTCGAGATACGAGACGAGTCTTTGTAGATGTCTTTCTCGAAACTTTTTTTCTCATATTCTAGTGATATTTCCTCACATCATTAAAGTGTTTCGTGTGTAGATCACCAAGAGGGGGGGGGGGTGAAACAGAAGGGTAGTCTTATTGTTCTCGAGCCCTGATTCAATCGCAGAACACGAAACTCTCCAATTGTCAAGTAACTATTTAAGTATGTATTTGAATATTTTTTGAAAATTGATTTTATCTATCAGATTAATAGATTTTTTTCTCATCACCTACGGGTGTCAAATAATTTTTATTGGGTGTTTTTCTAATTATTGAAATCCTATTCACTAAAGATGAAAGAAACGTGAAGTTGTTTTATATCGAAATATCTCGAAACTGCCTGACCGCTAATCCTCAATTCTGATCGGTCAATATGTGACACGAAGTTATTCACAAAAAAACACGCGGCATTTTCAAATTCTTCAGTGGCAAATTTTTTTTTCACAATATAATATAATATATATAAAATATATATAATATATATAATATATATCTATATATTATCGGTGAAATTAATAAATTCTGTCCTTTTATGGAGACCGATTATTTTAAAAAATTGATAATTAATTGGAAATGAAAAATGCTTTATAGATTCTTTTACTCTACTTGGCTATTCACTTCAATCATTAGTCGAATTCTCTTTGATTCATTATCAATATTTATAAGGTAGTATTCATAAGAAACTGAAATTCAATGAAGGCCATTTCTTCATTTCAACAAATGAATAGATCAGCGCGCGAGAGCGCGCGCATAGATCTTGTAATATTAAAATGCGTCTCGAGTTGGTAAACCTGTCGAGTCTCTTCTCTCTCTCAGTTCCATGGTCCAACCCATACCTTTCCCATGATGCTCACTGACATTCGAATCACGCGCCTGCACGTGAAGTTGTAATTGCCCCGAAACTCAAAATTTTTCGAATCATTTGTTCAAATAACTTTCTTGTGAAATCTGAAAAAAATCTGAAACTTATCCGTGTTCTCAAGAAAGATTTGATTTATGACCAACTAGTTTTTCCTCAATAGTTTATTATTTTTTTGGGTGCCATGGAAATTTCCCCAATTGAGAGTCGGGTAACCTCGGAGGTTATAGCTGGAGGGGTTACAAAAACATCCGAATTTCATGATTTTTTTCTTGAGATGAAGATCTGAAAAAAAATGTGCGAAAATTCTCAGTGATGTAACATACTCAGATATTTCTCTCATGAATTTCCCAATTATTTCCATTATTTTGACTCGTCACACAAAACACCTTAAAGTCTGCCTTTCGAGAATGCTGTAGAAGTATTTTGATGCAAAGCGCACCTTCGACAATTCAATCTCAATGAGAAGAAATGTAATCGTTAGCGGTTAAAGTGCGATACTTTCTACTCACAGGAATTATAAATTTCACTTCCGTAGTCAAGGCAGAGCCGAGTGGAAACGAAGCAACTGAAAAAATAAAGAACGAGGGTGGGGAAAGTACAGGAGACAGTGTTAGGGCCAGAAATTAGCATAGACCTCTTATTTATAGCACCCAGACCCCAGGCACCACAACGCATAAATATTATTTAAAGGTGACTCTTTATCATATAAACGCCCGAGCTACCGGGGTACATTATGTAGAATACCAGGACGACATTTTTTTACCTTTCCCCATCTTTTTTTTAGTCGTGTTTACTCTTCTGTTGATTTGCTGTGTTCCTTCCCAGGTAGGAATTGACAATAGAAACAGGACTCATCCAGCCCTGGAGCAAGGCTTGGAAATGCTCAACCAAGGCTGAAGCTCAGCCTTCACCCGGCGGAAAAATTCGATTTTGGCGAAAGTCGACTTTCCCCCCGAAAAAAGCCTAAATATGGCACTTTGGCTCTGGGTGCAAAAAAAAAATTTTTTTATTTCTGCATTTCCGGGGCAAGTGAGGGTCTCAGTGGCATTAGGCGGGCCAGAAAATACAGAATCAGCGTTCACCCGGCGGAAAAATTCGATTTTGGCGAAAGTCGACTTTCCCCCCGAAAAAAGCCTAAATATGGCACTTTGGCTCTGGGTGCAAAAAAAAAATTTTTTTATTTCTGCATTTCCGGGGCAAGTGAGGGTCTCAGTGGCATTAGGCGGGCCAGAAAATACAGAATCAGCGTTCACCCGGCGGAAAAATTCGATTTTGGCGAAAGTCGACTTTCCCCCCGAAAAAAGCCTAAATATGGCACTTTGGCTCTGGGTGCAAAAAAAAAATTTTTTTATTTCTGCATTTCCGGGGCAAGTGAGGGTCTCAGTGGCATTAGGCGGGCCAGAAAATACAGAATCAGCGTTCACCCGGCGGAAAAATTCGATTTTGGCGAAAGTCGACTTTCCCCCCGAAAAAAGCCTAAATATGGCACTTTGGCTCTGGGTGCAAAAAAAAAATTTTTTTATTTCTGCATTTCCGGGGCAAGTGAGGGTCTCAGTGGCATTAGGCGGGCCAGAAAATACAGAATCAGCGTTCACCCGGCGGAAAAATTCGATTTTGGCGAAAGTCGACTTTCCCCCCGAAAAAAGCCTAAATATGGCACTTTGGCTCTGGGTGCAAAAAAAAAATTTTTTTATTTCTGCATTTCCGGGGCAAGTGAGGGTCTCAGTGGCATTAGGCGGGCCAGAAAATACAGAATCAGCGTTCACCCGGCGGAAAAATTCGATTTTGGCGAAAGTCGACTTTCCCCCCGAAAAAAGCCTAAATATGGCACTTTGGCTCTGGGTGCAAAAAAAAAATTTTTTTATTTCTGCATTTCCGGGGCAAGTGAGGGTCTCAGTGGCATTAGGCGGGCCAGAAAATACAGAATCAGCGTTCACCCGGCGGAAAAATTCGATTTTGGCGAAAGTCGACTTTCCCCCCGAAAAAAGCCTAAATATGGCACTTTGGCTCTGGGTGCAAAAAAAAAATTTTTTTATTTCTGCATTTCCGGGGCAAGTGAGGGTCTCAGTGGCATTAGGCGGGCCAGAAAATACAGAATCAGCGTTCACCCGGCGGAAAAATTCGATTTTGGCGAAAGTCGACTTTCCCCCCGAAAAAAGCCTAAATATGGCACTTTGGCTCTGGGTGCAAAAAAAAAATTTTTTTATTTCTGCATTTCCGGGGCAAGTGAGGGTCTCAGTGGCATTAGGCGGGCCAGAAAATACAGAATCAGCGTTCACCCGGCGGAAAAATTCGATTTTGGCGAAAGTCGACTTTCCCCCCGAAAAAAGCCTAAATATGGCACTTTGGCTCTGGGTGCAAAAAAAAAATTTTTTTATTTCTGCATTTCCGGGGCAAGTGAGGGTCTCAGTGGCATTAGGCGGGCCAGAAAATACAGAATCAGCGTTCACCCGGCGGAAAAATTCGATTTTGGCGAAAGTCGACTTTCCCCCCGAAAAAAGCCTAAATATGGCACTTTGGCTCTGGGTGCAAAAAAAAAATTTTTTTATTTCTGCATTTCCGGGGCAAGTGAGGGTCTCAGTGGCATTAGGCGGGCCAGAAAATACAGAATCAGCGTTCACCCGGCGGAAAAATTCGATTTTGGCGAAAGTCGACTTTCCCCCCGAAAAAAGCCTAAATATGGCACTTTGGCTCTGGGTGCAAAAAAAAAATTTTTTTATTTCTGCATTTCCGGGGCAAGTGAGGGTCTCAGTGGCATTAGGCGGGCCAGAAAATACAGAATCAGCGTTCACCCGGCGGAAAAATTCGATTTTGGCGAAAGTCGACTTTCCCCCCGAAAAAAGCCTAAATATGGCACTTTGGCTCTGGGTGCAAAAAAAAAATTTTTTTATTTCTGCATTTCCGGGGCAAGTGAGGGTCTCAGTGGCATTAGGCGGGCCAGAAAATACAGAATCAGCGTTCACCCGGCGGAAAAATTCGATTTTGGCGAAAGTCGACTTTCCCCCCGAAAAAAGCCTAAATATGGCACTTTGGCTCTGGGTGCAAAAAAAAAATTTTTTTATTTCTGCATTTCCGGGGCAAGTGAGGGTCTCAGTGGCATTAGGCGGGCCAGAAAATACAGAATCAGCGTTCACCCGGCGGAAAAATTCGATTTTGGCGAAAGTCGACTTTCCCCCCGAAAAAAGCCTAAATATGGCACTTTGGCTCTGGGTGCAAAAAAAAAATTTTTTTATTTCTGCATTTCCGGGGCAAGTGAGGGTCTCAGTGGCATTAGGCGGGCCAGAAAATACAGAATCAGCGTTCACCCGGCGGAAAAATTCGATTTTGGCGAAAGTCGACTTTCCCCCCGAAAAAAGCCTAAATATGGCACTTTGGCTCTGGGTGCAAAAAAAAAATTTTTTTATTTCTGCATTTCCGGGGCAAGTGAGGGCCTCAGTGGCATTAGGCGGGCCAGAAAATACAGAATCAGCGTTCACCCGGCGGAAAAATTCGATTTTGGCGAAAGTCGACTTTCCCCCCGAAAAAAGCCTAAATATGGCACTTTGGCTCTGGGTGCAAAAAAAAAATTTTTTTATTTCTGCATTTCCGGGGCAAGTGAGGGCCTCAGTGGCATTAGGCGGGCCAGAAAATACAGAATCAACGTTCAC